CAGGCAGGCACTGTACCACTGAGCTATATCCTTGACCCCTGAGGGAGTATTCTTAATGCTCGATATTAAGAACAAGAAGAAAAAGGAAGAGATAAGCCCATTGCCTGGGTCTGTATTATATTCTGTTATCACACAACTGAAAGAAAACACAGATATCCAGTGCCTATCTTAACTTGCATTCTCTCCATCAAAAAGGAATGATCTGTAAGCTGGAAAAAAAAAAAAAAAAAAAGTAAAAGTTGTAAGAGGAGGCTTAAAGGCAAAGACAGGTGCATTGATGGAAAGCGCTAAATGGTCTTAAGTGGGTTGAAAGTCTTCAGGTCTGGACTTGGCTAGAGCTTTAGGTCATGACCCCAAGGCCTCGCTAGTGATATGGGGCGGGTTAGGTGTATAGTACCCAATTCACTTACCAATACAAAGGAAGGAAGGAAGGAAGGAAGGAAGGAAGGAAGGAAGGAAGGAAGGAAGGAAGGAGAGAGAGAGAATTAATTGACTAAAGGACACGTTTACAACTCATTATGTCTTGATTTTAGCAAAACTGCTAGCCCAGCTGTGTTAGTCATGACTTATTCATTTCAAAGATAAGGCAGAAAGGCTGCCATTGTTTCCTGTATCAGCAGAGACTCAAAAGGAGGAACTACAGGCTCTTCAGGGACCGGAGCCAAGGCCATGTCCCCAGCCCTTCTTTCTCACCGTCTCCAGCTCTGCTCCACAGTGCTTGGCTTCCTTGGGAATCCACTCCTCGCTTCTGGCTGAGGCAGCCTTAGGAAGCCCCGTAGTCATATTTTCCAGGCTCAGGAACCTGATGGCAAACAGCTGTTTCTTTCCTTCGAGTAATCACACAGAATGACTTGGGTCTTCGGTTGTTTAGTTTGGTTGCGCAGTATTGGGAATCAAAGCTGGGAGTGCTCTACCACTCAACTATATACCTACCTCTTTTTTTTTTTTTTTTTTCAGTCTCTAGACAGGGCTTTGCTAAATTGCGCAGGCTGGATTCAAACTTATGATCTTCCTGCTTCAGTCTCCAGAGTAGTTGGACTTACAGGTATGTGCCACCATGCCCAGCTGATGTCTTTATTTTTACACTTCTGTGCTCTTGTGGGTTTGGAAGGGTGTATTTTATTCTTTAGCACTTACTGTATTACCCTGTAAGACATTCTAATATTTAAAACACTTTAAAATCAAACTTGTCAATATTAACCTAAATAGCTGTATGGGTAGATTATTCTCACTTAAGTTTTCCCTATTACTGGACATTTAATTTGCTTTCAGATCCTATGCTATTGTATGTAAAGCTGCTGCTGTTCAGTAAATAAGCATCTTTGTATATAAAACCTAGCCCATGTCTATGACTATTGCTTTATTTCACTTTTTTTTTGCAGAACCGGGGATTGAACTCAGGCCCTTGCGCTTGCCAGGGAAGCACTTATTCCACTGAGCCATCTCCCCAGCCCAATTATTGTTTTAGATGGAGTCCTAGAAGTGAATTCCTGAGCCGAAGTTGTTTGTTTTTTTTTTTAATTTTTTTTTTTTTTTGGCAGAACTGAGTATTGAACTCAGGCCCTTGCACTTACCAGGCAAGTGCTTATTCTACTGAGCTATCTCCCTGGCCCCAAGCCAAAGGTTTTAAACATTGCTACATCATCTTTTAAGAAATAGAGCCAGGGACATAGCTCAGTGGCGTAAGTGCCTGCCTGACAAGTGCAAGGTCCAGAGTTTGATCCTCTGGTACTGGGGGAAAGAAAAAATAGACCCATCCCTCAACACTCTATTAAGGACTTTTTTTTTTTCAGTTTTTCTTGTCTGATTTGATGGATTGATTGATTGATTGACCTTGATGCTGGGAATCAAACTTGGGACTTTACACTCCAGGCCGGTGTTGTACCACACTAAGCTGTATCTCCAGCCTGCTTGTTTTATTTTCTTATTGTATTGTATTTTTTTTCTTTTTCTTTTTTTTTTAGGAGAGGTTTTTTTGTTTGTTTTTGGTGCCGAGGACCAAACCCAGGGCTTCTAGCTTGCTAGGCAAGCGTTCTACTGCAAAGCCCTGTCCCCAGCCCTTACTTGTTTTAGACAGTGTCAAAGTATGCCGTTTATGCATGCCTTGACCTTACTATGTGGCCTAAACTGATTTAAACCCATGAACCTCTTGCCTCAGCCTCCTGGGTGCTGGGATTACAGACATGTGCTATCACATCTAGTACATTGAAAATTTGTGTGTGTCTGTGTGTGTGTCTGTGTGTGTGTGTGTGGCTGGCTCAGCCTGCCCTGGGGATGGGCCCGCCCAGTCTGGTTTGTGGTGCCGGGATGAACTGAACTGCGGTCCCTGCACTTGCCTAAGCAAGTGCCTGAGACCCCTGAGCTATCTCCCTGGCCCAACATTGAGAATTTTTGTTTAAAAACAAAAAATGTGCAAAACCCTGATTTATTTTCTTCATCCAACTTGCTTTGATAAAGTTATCTTGTTTATTCATTTCCTTGTTTATTGACTACCTCCTACCTTTCATAAGTAAGTTCTTTTTTTTGTTTGTTTTTTTTGTTTGTTTGTTTGTTTGTTTTGTTTCATAAGTAAGTTCTTTGCAGGGGAGGCTGGAGTTTTGTCCATGGCCCCCATGTCCTCAGCTTTCCCGTTTCGTCTCTTTTTCCAAGATATAGCCCACATTTTCTCCGGTGCTTTCCAGATTTCTCAGAGAGAATGTCTCTAAGCACCCTGTTTAGAGTTGCACTCTTCTCCCCTTCTCTGTATTTCTCTGTAACACTTGACCACTTCAGTCGGCACATTCACTGAATTCAGCGTATTCTTCTTTGTGGGAAGTGGGAAGTCCATGAGAGCTTTGTGTGTGCGTGCGTGTGTGTGTGCGTGTGCGATGCTCAATGCTTAGTACAATACCTGATGTCATATATGCTCAGTAAATATTTAGCATGTTGAGTTCATAAGCCAAGCTTACAGCTCAGCAGCACAGTGCTTGCCTGGAAAGTGCAAGGTTTTGAGTTCAACTCCTTGATTTAAAAAAAAAAAAAAATAGAAGAAGAAGAAAGGAAGAATAAGCCATAGTTATTAAGTCTAGATCAATAAGTAGTTTTTGCTTCTGTTTCATTAGGACTCTTCTTCTCACCTGACCAGGTAGCAAAAAAAAAAAAAAAACAACAACAACAACCAAACTCTGCCCAGAAGCCACTTTCTGTAGTTCTGCAATATAACATGTACTGGCCACTTGGCACGAGCCTTGTCGGTACAGTAGCTGATAATGGCATTTTAGGATTGCAGGTTTTGTTATTACAGTTATGTTTCAGAGGAGGGAATTAGCAGAGCTGGGTACGGACCCTGTTTCTGACTCCGAGCTCGTCATGGGTTCTCTCTTTTGAGTGATGAACTTATGTGGGTTCAGTCATCAGCGAAACATCGTCAGGCTGGCTCAAAGAACAGCCTGTCAAACGCTAAGTGTTTCCTGGCATTTTGCATTTGAATCTCCGATGGCGGGAAGCGGCTGGCAGGTGCCTGAGGGGCGGGGCGGAGACGCCAGGGCAGCCAGCCAATCAGAGAGCGGGCTCCCCACCCCGCCGTTCCGCGCCAAAATTCCAAACGGGATTCGCGCCACTCCCGCCGTGTCCCTCCGCCGAGCTCTGCGGGCCGGAACTACATAAGGAAAAAGACGCGTTCTCGTTCCAAGATCTGCTCGGCTCCCGGCTGTGTCAGCGTATGTGCTAGACTGCCTCGGCGTGGCTTTCTTCGCGCCTCGGAGTGTAGGACGGCGTCTGGTGCGGCGCCTCGGCCGCCCGCGCGGCGGAGGGATTTCGGGCGCGTGCTGCGGCCCTGCGCGGATCCTGTGGCGCCAGAATTCGGAGCGCGGAAGCGGGAAACGCTGAGGCTGCGGGCCCGGACTGTGGAGCGCGCGGACCCCCGAGCGCGGGCGGACGCGATGGTGGTGCTTCGCAGCAGCCTGGAGCTGCACAGCCGCTCCGCCGCCTCGTCGTCGGACTCCCTGGACCTGTCCAGCGAGTTCCTCAGCCTGGGGCAGATGGGACGGAGGCGGCACAGCTCGGCGGGCGCGGCGAAGAAAGCAGCCGTCGCTGCGGCCGCGAAGGAGGTGAGTGTGGGCAGGGCCGGAGGGAGTGGCGGGGACCGGGGAAAGGAAGCGCTCCCCGAGTCGGGTGGCCGGGGCGCTCCCGCTGCTGCCGCTGTGGCCCGGCGGGGCGGGGGCCTGCCGAGCGCCGCTGTCGCACGTCGGGTGCCAGCCGCGGGGACGGCGTGGTCGGGCCTCCCGCCGCGGCCCAGCGCGGCTCGGTACCGGGAGCGCGGGGCATCGCCGGGTTGCGTAATACGTGGGGCTGGGGACCGGCGTGCACGCACGTTCTTCACTTGGGTCTGTGAGAATACATAGTTAGGGCGTTTGTGTGACTGAGCAGAAAACGGACTCCAAAAGGGAGCCGGTAAGCGGTGAATGTAAAATTGGAACGTGGGTTTCCTGCCTCCGGGATCGTGCTGCCGTTACAGTGACGACAGGGAGGTTTGTGAGCGGCGGAAGCTTGCAGGAAGTGCTTTTCGCAGGTCGCGAGTGCACGTGGGAGTTTTGATGGGCAGTTACTGCTGAGAAAGGACGTTCCTGCCCGCCGCACCACCCTAGGTGTTTCAGGAGCCCTAGGTGGCGGGGACAGCAGTCGTGGAAGGTCGCAGAATTTGAGGAAGCAACCCTGAAGCCCTTTAGCAGACAGTAGAGTGAGAGTGAGGGGACATACTGAGGAGGAACGACAGGGCTGGAGACAAGGGTTAGGAATCGGAGGGGGGAGCGCGTAGCGTAATTGCCCAAGCAGTCTTCAGGTTCAGGCAGTCTGGCTTTGAAATGAGCTTAAGATCACTAGATGAAATTAGCTATCACTGTGGAATGCTGATTGGAAGGCTTGTTTCTTACCGGGGGTGGTGGCGCATGCTTGTAATCCCAGTACTTGGCAGGAGCACTGTGAGTTCGAGGCCAGCCTGCCAGCATTACATAATACAAGACTGCTTCAAAAGAAAAAAAAAGTACTTTTCAGTAAGGTACAGGAAATGGCAGCAATCCGAAAAGCACTTCTGTGCTGAGCTCAAGTCCTGTTTGACCTATTAACCTGTGAGCAGAAAAGCTAGTTAGTCCCTAAGTATTTACTTAATACTTGCTTTTTTAAGGGTAATGTTAGATTTGTGGCCATGTGATATTCTGAAAACTGGTTAGGTAATAAGCTCTTAAGATACTATTAGTTTTAAAAAAAAAAAGATACTATTAGTTTAGACTCTCATTTTACCAAGTTTACCAATACTTAGCAGATTTCTCTACTTTTAAGTTGGCCACACCATGTGGATTAAATGTGATCATGCATGTAAGATTAACTGAGCATTTGGTTATATGTAGTTAGGACTTTGTCATTTTTAGCTCTTAAGATCATAGTTGATTTTAATTAATGGCCACTCCTCCCATATCTAGCACATTACCGAATTCTACTGGCTCTATTTTCAAAACATTCAGAATCCAACCACTTACGTGCTCCCTTGTTGCCTTGTTTCTTACCTAGGTTATTAAAATAGATTTTGAGTGGCTTTTTTTTTAGCCTCTATATGTATATATTATACCTCTCCAAAAGTCAGTTTTTAATGCAATAACTTTTAAATTAAAAAGTTAAAACATTTAATCATTCCTCTGCTCAGAAAAATCTATGGACTCCCCATCTGTTTGGAAGCAGCCCCACACCCTTTTTTTTTTTTTAATTTTTTTTTTATTTATGTGTGTGTGGCCAGCTCAGCCCACCAGGGGGCGGGGCTGACCAGCATGTGGTGCTGGGGGATTGAACCATGGTCCCTTTGCTTTGCTAAGCTTGTTGTAAGTAGGTGCTTTAGACCACTGAGCCATCTCACCAGCCCCCCCACACTCTTTTGTCATCTTCTTTTATCACTATAATGAGCGCTGTCACTTGACAAAGCTCACTGCCTTTCTAGCCACTGTCTTAGCTGCCCCTTCAATACCACACCCTTTACCCTTGTTCCTTTTCTATCAGGAATGCTTTTCCCTGGTATCTACATGACACATTCCTTTTGTCAGATTTTTTTTTTTTTTTTTTTTTTGCGGAACCGGGGATTGAACTCAGGCCCTTGTGCTTGCCAGGGAAGCGCTTATTCCACTGAGCCATCTCCCCGGCCCCATTGCCAGATTTTTAAACAAAAAAAAAAATAGGTAATTCTCAAGTCAGTATTTAAGGCGGATCACTATGAGTCTGATCTAGTAGTGAGAACCTGTAGACCTTTCCCTAAAATACAGGTAAAAGTCAAGTCAGTGTTTAATGTGTTTACTAGTAGTACCTCAGTCCTCATAATCTTGTGAAATACGTTTTTTAGGTTTTTTTATTGTTTTTTTTTGTTTCTTTTTTTTATGAGAAACTAAAGCACAGAGACTTAAGTAACTTAGCCAAATTCATCCTGGAACTGTGAGACTTCGTTTCAGAGTTAGGAGTCAGCCTCTTTTTTAAAGTGTTTGCCAAAATTTCATTTTCAATGGTGCTATCCTTTTTTTTTCTCCAAGCCTTGTTTAATCTAGGAAGAGAGACCAATGATGCAAAATGAATGACTGACATCGCTTGCAAGGGTGCTATCCTAAAGACCCTTTTTAGAATCACAAATTACTTTTTGATATGACATTTTTCCTGCTTTATGTTCCCCTAGCAACTTCCTTCTAGCAGCTTATTCTGTGATTTTTTTTTTAGTTTTTTAATATTTTTATCTCAGGGCTGGCCAAATAGCTCAGCAGATTGAAGCACCTACAAGCAGGTACAGGGGCCAGGGGTTCAATCCCCCAGCCTGCCATGTGTGCCTATTATCCCAGCTCTTGGGAGGCTGTAAACAGGTGGATCATTACGAGTCCAATCTAGTAGTGAGACCCTGAACTCCTTGTAGACCATTCCCTAAAGCAAATACATATATATATGTATATATATATATATATATATAATCATTCCAAATTAGAATGACACTCCATAGGGTCTTGGATTTTTTACTTTTTGTTGAGTGATGTGTTCCAAGCACCTAAAACAAAGCCTCCTGTGTAATAGATAGACATTTTTGCTCAAAAAGAGTTTAGGCCAGGCATGGTGGCATATGCCTGTCGTCCCAGGAGAGACCTAATGTACAACAGTATACAGAGGGCTGGTGAGATGGCTCAGTGGTCTAAAGCACCTACTTAGAACAAGCTAAACAAAGCAGAGGGACCATGGTTCAATCCCCCAGCACCACATGCCAGCCAGCCCTGCCTCCTGGTGGGCTGAGCTGGCCACCCACACATACACACACAAATAAATAAATAAAATTAAAAAAAAAATTAAAAAAAAAACAGTATACAGAGACTTTGCCATAGATGCTGTTGAGCAATTATAATGTTGGTTGAGCAGTTATGATGCGCTCAGCTGCATGTTGTAGGGTGAACCTCTTTTTCCATACCAGGATTTTCAGTACAGACTAGTGATGGCAAACCTTTTAGAACTTTTAGTGATAATAAATAGCTGGCTATGGCACATATGCTATAAGTTTGCCACCACTGACAAAGACTATGTGAACCTGTTTTGTTTTGAGACAGGGCCTCACTCTAGTTTTGGTTGGAAACTTTGGACTCAAATCTTTCTACCTCAGCCTTTCTAGTGCTAGATTTGTAGGCATGTATCGCCATGCCTGACTTGGATTATACTTTTTTAAGACAAAGTGATCATTTCTATAAACCAGGGAACCAAGGCAGACAGAATTATAATCAGTTGAATTAAGTAAGCAATTAAGGCCAGTCTGTTGTGAGCAAGTTGAATTAAAAGAAATATAGTCTTGAGGTGTTATACTTAAAAACCCACTGATACCAGAAAAGGAAGTATACCTTTGTGGTTAGAATTGTTTCCTAATTTGGGGACTTTACATTTATTACATTGGTTGGCTTATACTTTACCTTTTTTAAATGAAGACATATTTCAGAAATTTAATTTCCTAAAAAGAAAAATTAGCTTTGTGATCACACTAATTGTATTTGGATATTTTCTAGTCTTTTGAGCCACATTCTCAGCATTTCTTAGAGTAGGCTGCTTTCTCTTTTCTCTTTGTTTTTGTGTTTGTTTTGGTGTGTTTGTTTGGGGAGTTTTTGTAGATAGACTCCCTGTGTAGTCCAGGCTGCCCACAGACTCACAGGGATTCTCTTGCCTCAGCCTCCTGAGTGCTGGGATTATAGGTATGAGCTACCACACCTAGCAGGGTAGGTTACTTTCACAAATGGTTAAATTTACTCTTATCTAATTCATTGCTTTGAGTCTTTCTTACTTTATGATTAGGTTTTGGGGTTTTTTTTATTATAGTTTGTTTTTTGAGGCAGTCTCGCTATATTATATAGTTCAGACTGGCCTTAAGCTAAACTGTTGTGGGCTCTCCCTGCCTTTGCCTCTGGCCTTACAGGTGTGTGTGCAGAAATTGTTGAACTTCAGAGGTTGACGTAATGTTCAGGTTCTGAAGGTACTTATAGTCACCTACTTATTAATAGCTAGGTTTTGCTTCCCCCCCCCCCCCCCCCCCCCCCCGGATTGAACTCAGGCCCTTGCGTTTGCCAAGCAAGCGCTTATTCTACTGAGCCATCTCCCTGACCCCTCTGCTTTCACATGTTAAGTCTAGGGTATGTGCGAGCTCACAGTGCAAATGAGGGAACCCTAGGTTTGGCTTACAATAGACACACACCGTACCACTGAGTTATGTGATGGATCTTTTTCCTTCCTTCCTTTTTTTTGCAGTACGGGGGATTGAACTCAGGATTCTGCGATTTCCAGGCAAGCGCTTATTTTACTGAGCTATCTCCCTGGCCCTCTTTTTCCATTTTAACTTTCTTTTGTTTTCCTATTATTGAGGATTGAACCAAGGGCCTTCTCACTGACCCATATCCCCAGCTATTTTTATCTTTATTTTTTTGACAGTCTTCCTGAGTTACCCAGGCTGCACTTAAACTTGAGATCCTTGTGCCTCAGCCTCCCACAGTGCTGGAGTTCTAAGCATGTGCCCCATTCCCAGCTTGTTTTCTGTTCTGGTTTTGGGTTTTCTTGACTTTCATTT